CCTGTGATCCCTAGTAGAGAGATAATAAGTCAACAAACAGGAAATACTTCAGCTATTGATAAGTGCTTGACAAGGACAAAGCTGGACAGTGGAGATCAGACCACAACAGCGTGATCCGAGAAGGACCCCCTGAAGAGGTGACCTTTGAGATGAGGGCTGAACAACAAGAAGGAGCCAGCTGGGCAGAGGTCAGGGTCGAGGGGGTCCGGCAGAGAGGACAGCGAGTGCAAAGACCAGGAGGCAGGAACGGCCTTGGCCTGCTTGATCTCTGCGAGGCCACCACTCACTGTTCACAGGCCCCAGCTCTCCAGTTCCAGGCTCCATGACTCCTGGGGGATTTTTGCTCTCAGAAGTCAGTTCTGTCTTCAAGGCCTGGCAGGGGTGGATGGGTGAGGGACAGCAGCGCTTCTTAACCCCCCACCAGATATCTGGCATCCAGCTGGCAATTCTGAATCCATTTGGAAGCTCAGCTGGGGCACTGAAGCTATTTGGGGTCACCTGGGCTCTGCTCCAATTCCTAACCAACGAGGTAATGAAACATGCTCTTGACCCACTTACTGCCAAAGCCTGTTGCAGGCCAATGATTGACTTCCCCAATCCTGTCGATTCCAGTGTCCCTAATTTCCCCTGGTCACCTCCCCGGCTGACCCATGTTGTGTCTGGAATCATTCCTCTACAAAGGACTGATATTGACATCCTGGCAAGAGCAACCAGAGAGGAAGGGGAAGAGAGAAACAGAGAGAAAAGAGGAGAAAGCGAGAGGGAGAGGAGAGGAGAGGAGAGGAGAGGAGAGGAGAGGAGAGAGAAGAGAGAGATAATATGAATACAGGTCTGAGATTCAGAGCCTTTAAAAGGCAACCTTTGCAGCCAGAACTTACCCACATATAGCCCCACCCCCGTTATATAATGTCTAGAATTAATATATTGCAGAGAAAGACTCACAGGCTGTCACCCCTGAAGCAGATGTATTTGAACGTTCAAAACAGCTTTATTCATAACAGCCCCAAGTTGGAAGCAATCCAAATGCCCGTCGGCAGGAGGACCAACAAATAAACCATGGTATAGTCACAGAATGGAGGAACATTACTCAGCAATAAAAAAGAATGAACAACTGACACACACAACCGCATGGAGGAGTTTCACAGGCATTACACCAAGCAAAAATACTAAAGCACATCCTGTAAGATCCCATTTAAGTGGAGTCTGAGAACAGGCAAAACCAATCTATTAGCGATGGAAGTCACGGCAGTGGAGGAGGCATGAGGATTGACCTCAAAGGGGCAAAATGAAACTTTCTGGGATGATGGAAATGTTGTGTAGCTTGGTTATACAGGTATATAAGTTTGTTAAAACTCAAACTGTACATCTATGATGGATGCATTTGATTGTGTTAAATTATAGCTCATCAAGTTAATTTTCAAAAGATGTCATGTTTATTCTTCTCTGCAGCTGTTACTCTAAAACGTATTCAGTGGGGGGCTGTTGGGATGGGGGGGGGGCAGGAGAGCAGCTTCCAGGCTCTCGGCCTCACCTGGAAGGGTGCTGGCTTGGTTATTGGATGGCCGTCAGCTGTGACTGGTTGCCATCAGCTGTGGCCAGTTGGCCATTAGCCGCTGTTTTGCATATAACTGCCGCGGCTGCCTTAGCAAGCGTGGATGTTGTGGGTTGTGCCGATTCTCTTTCCTGTGTTTCGCCCGGCCGCCATCGAGAATATAGTGGTATGAACCCTCTATCTGTGGCTCTGTTGTTGTTCCTTTTTGGCCTCACCAGGCCCTGCGTTCATTTGCTGGGAGCTGAGCCCCGGCATGACACTTGGTGTGACAGAGACGTTCTTCCGCCATAACTTGGATGAATACATCTGTTAGACGTGTGACTTTCCCATTACTCTTGGGAAGTAACTAAAATCTTCCAGTGACTTTAACACACACAGTCCCGATTCAGAAATTAGAATGGTCACTTCCAGGTGATTGGCATTTAAGTCAGTAGATGAGTAGAGAAGATCTCCCCTCCCCAAGGTGGGTGGGCACCATCCAATCAGCTGAGAGCTTATAGAACAAAAAAGGCAAAGGAAGGGCAGATTCCTCTCTCTTTTTGAGCTGAGGCATCCACCTTCTCCTGCCCTCGGACATCCATTGGTGCTCCTGGTTCTCAGGCTTTCAGACGCACAGGGCTCACACCATCAGCCCCCTGATTCTCAGGTCTTCGGATTGGGACTGAATACATCACCAGCTTTTCTGGTCCTCCAGCTTGCAGATGGCAGCTCATGGGACTTCTTGGCCTCCATAACGGTGTGAGTCAATCCTGTAATCAATCTCCCCTTATATGTAGCGCTCTCTCTCTCTCCCTCTCTCTCTCTCTCTCTCTCTCTCTCTCTCTATATATATATATAGATATAGATATAGATATAGATAGTTACAGATATAGATACAGATATATCTATATCTATATCTAATCTCCTATTGGTCCTGTATCTCTGGAGAACATTGACTAATATAGGTGGCAACTTGTTAAATGAAGAAAAATGAAGAGGGGGCATCAGGCTCCTGTGGGACCAGTAGCCAAAAATCAGGCTTTTTCTGCTTAAAACCTGGCCCATCTCTCAGAAGCTGTGTGTTTTCAGAAAAGCCACTGCACCTCTCTGAGCTGTGGAAACCAACCGTCTCCAGCTGATACCTGGTGTCCTCTGCAGACTCACAGGCTCCCAGCCCTAAGAAGACCGAATTAGCCAAATTTGATGTTCTGTGGCCTGAGCATTTGGATATATTGGCTCCTCAGGTGGTCCCTGAAGCGCCACTGGCAGAATGTGGGGATTCCAAAAGCTACTGTGAACAGCGCATGCTCTTTATTGTGCCGCCACGTTCCGCCATTTTTGTTTGATGCCCTGGGAATACCTGGGGTGCGCCTGCTCCTCCGTTTGCCTCCAAGCACCTAGTGAGGCTAGGAGGGCTTTCTCTGTAAAGGACCTGGTGCAGGGTCTTAGCCTCCTACGGAGACCTGATCTGGGGTTCTAGAAACATCTCTGCCACCTATCTGCTATCTGACCTTTCCTTCTCTGGCCTCAGTCTCCACATTTGCAAAGCCAGGGGCTTGGTTGGTGGTGGTCTGACTGTCCACCATTGACTTCCTGAGTTAGGGACTGTCTTGGGCACTGCCCCTGTGGGTGGAAGGGAGGGAGAGAATTGAGCGGCCCAGTAGATAGCTCCTCATTCCATTTTTCCCAGGACAACTCTCTTTTAACTAAATTTACATATTCAGGGTTTGTTTTATATACTGTGATTCAATATTTCAGTTTTTCTTGGACCAAGGGCTGAAAGTTATAAATATTTATAGATCTGTGATTATCTAAGGTATCTCACCCCTGCTCTGTTGGGATCTGCCCAGTTTAGGAACTGAGAGGAGGATGAGAAATAAAAAACTCAGGGACTTTTTAGTCATTAGATTCGATTCTGTATTATTGTTTTTGCTTTCGATCATTAACATGTGTATTCAATAAACTGACATGTTGAAATATTCATTTCAAGTTGTGCTCATTTGTTTTACAATTATTCATTCTTCCCTGACCCCAACAAGTAATTTGATTGATTGTATGAACTCTGGGTGTCCATTAAAATTTTTTTTTCCTCCAGAAGAATGTATCTTAAGTCAATAGGAAAATTGTTTTTTCCCCCCAATTTTTTATTGTGGTAAAATACATAGAACACAAATTTTACCATCTTAACTACACGTATTTTTAAGTGCACAGTTCAGTGGTAAAAAATACATTCATAATGTTGTGCAACTATCACCACCATCCAACCATTCATCTCCAGAACTCTTTTATCTTGTAAAACTCAAACTCTATACCCATTAAACAATGACTCTCACTCCTCTCCCAGCCCCTGGCAACCACCATTCTACTTTCTGCCTCTATGAGTTTGAGCACTCTAGGTACCTCATTAAAAGTGGAATTCAGTATACGTCTTTTTGTGACTGGCTTATTTCACTTAATATCTTCAAAGTTCATCCATGTTGTAGCATATGTCAGAATTTCCTTCCTTTTTAAGGCTGAATAATAGCTACCTATATATCTATATCTATATCTATCTATATTGGTATAGATATATAGACCACATTTTGCTTATTCATTCATCTGTTGATGGACACTTGAGTTGCTTCCACATTTTAGCTATTGTGAAAATGCCGCTATGAACATGGGTGTACGAATAGTCTTTGAGATCCTGCTTTCAGTTGTTTGGGGGGTATATACCCAGAAGTGAAAATGCTGGGTCATAGGGTAATTCTATTTAATTTTTTGTGAAACCACCACGCTGTTTCCCTTCGCAGCTGTACCATTTTGTATTGCCACCAACAGTGCACAATAAAGTTCTTATTATTACTGTTTATAGAGTGTGCACTATATGTTAGGCATCATGCAACATGCTGGGTACAGACGTGGCAGTTGCTATGGGCGCTCCCTTTACATGCCCGCTGGCATCTCACCATTCTGCACATGCCAATAGCTATTGCACCTGAGATGCTCAGCGTGAGTGTGTTCTCTGGATGCACATGGGCAGGCTGGAGATGCTGGGGACGAATGCTCCCAGGAGCAGCCCTCAACCAATGATGGCCAGGAGTTGGCAGATAAATAGCCCAACTTCCTTGCCTCCCAGGAGAATGACTGAGGCATGACCTACAATCATCTCCCAGGGTCCCCATCAGGATTGAGCCCCTGCTGCTCACAGTGGTAACCTCATTAACACACACTATTGGTTTCCTTCACTGCTTTGCTTCCCTACTAACATTCCAGAACTTTCTGGGATCCCCTATTAACTGTTTTCATGCTCACGCTCATCTCAGAATCTACTTCTAAGACAATGGGGTATTTCATATAACCCTCCAACGGTCCTATAAAATGGACAGATATAGCTTCCCCATTTTCTAGTTGAGCAAAATGAGGCTTAGATAGGTAATGCCACCCCGAGTGCCGCTGACCCTCCTGAGCTTGTATTTCTCCCCTGCAGGAAGGCCGCTGCCTGTTTGTCATCCTGCTCATGGCGGTGTACTGGTGCACGGAGGCCCTGCCCCTCTCGGTGACGGCCCTGCTGCCCATCATCCTCTTCCCCTTTTTGGGCATCCTGCCATCCAGCAAAGTCTGCCCCCAGTACTTCCTGGACACCAACTTCCTCTTCCTCAGTGGTCTGATCATGGCCAGCGCCATAGAGGAATGGAACCTACACCGGAGAATCGCCCTCAAGGTCCTGATGCTCGTTGGGGTCCAGCCGGCCTGGTAAGGCCAGGTAACGGGTCCAGTGCAAAGGCGGGGAGGCAGAGGGACCACAGCTCTTGGCGCCCTAATTCATTCTTTCCAGTTACTCATTATGTCCCGCCTTCCACATACTTATTCATTCCTCAGATATTTCACGAGCCCCCTCTGTGTGCCAGACACAGTGCTAGGTTTGCAGGAGCGTCTCAAAAGTGCATAAGAATCACCTGGGAAACCGGCTGAAATGCTGATTCCCAGACCCTGCCCCTAGGGAATTGTGTCCTGTAGTTTTAGAATGGGCCATATTAGCAATATGACTCAGGCTACTTAGGGGTGAATTCCACCTTTCCTGGAAATGACTTAACCCCGCTCTGTCTATAAAATAACGGTATTATAGCCCAGACCTACACAGTAAATGCTGTCTGTTATCATCCTAGTTTGCTATTTACCAGCCAAGATGACCAGGTGGGTGGCAAGTGGGTAAAAAGATGGCCTTAGAGAGACAGGAGGCAAGGTCCGTTCTGGCAGGGCCTCCTACCCCTGACTAGGTTTTGAACTTTTATTCTAAGGGGATTGAATGACCATTAAAATAGGGTTATTGTTCCTTTAAACTTTGTTGTCCAATTTGGTGAATATTAAGGATTCCTTCCCAGAATAATGTTTTAAAATGCATAAAGCACAACACATGGGATTTAAAACAACAATAACCACTACAATTACAGAAAAACGTGGTTATGCAAATGATTTTTTAAAAACACACAAATTTGTGATATGGTACCATCTGTGCTCCTTTCTAGTATGAGATCTAGAGACTGGCCTAACAACAACCATGGTTTTGAGGCAGTTTTGAGTGTCAACGATATTCCAAGATGTCTGCAACTATGATGCAATAATGTGATATGAACACACCTGTGATCTTAATTGGTGACCAAGCCCCAGATGCTCCTAATAATACTGAACTTTGTGGCCTGTATTTATCATCGAAGGAAATAGTTCATTTCTACTAGGTGTTAGTAAAATAAAGATGTATTTCCCCCACTCCTTTCCATCCTGAATTGTATCCATAAACTTCTGGTTATGAATCTCTGCACTAAAGAGTTTTAAGCTGGGGAATGACATGACCAGATATGCATTTTTTAAAAAAAAATTCCTCTTGGCTGCCATGCGAAGAGCAGATGGGCCGTGAGACGCTTTGTACAGCCCAGTTAGGAGACTGTTCTGGGTGTCCAGACAAGAGATGGTAACAACTTGGACTAGGGTGGTGGCAATGGTGATGGATAGAATGGATAGATTTGAGAGTTCTTTTTGTGATGGGCTTGGGGATGGAGGTGGGGGAAAAGCAGGTTCTGGATAATTTGTGGGTTTTTAGCATTTGCTCCAGGCCAAGCACTATGCTAGGCTCTGCAGCTGTTTCCTCCTGGAGGAACTGCCCTTCCTGGGGGAGAGATTCCAGCTATAGAACTGATCCCCACACAAAGCAGAATTTGATACCCAAGGGGCCCACATGCCATAGGAGCCCACATGAGAGATAGGGGGTGACTTCTTCGTGGAGAAGCTTACATTTGACATTGCAGAATGGGGTGGGGCTGCCAGCAAACATATTTTAAAGTCCCCACAATGAAATCAGTATGACAGTAGTTTGGAAATAGATTTTTGGAAATTGAAAACACAGAATAAATAACTTCGAATAAATCTGAATCAGCGAGGAAGGGAAGGATTATTCAGTAAATGGCAGGGGTTGAAATAATTACGTTATTCTTTGAAAAAAAGATCTACTTCGAGCTGCCTTCATACTGTACATGTAAATAAATTCCAGGTGGATTAAGAGTTGAATGTAAAGGAAAAAGATCATGAAACTTGGATTCCTGTTGGTGGGAGGGACCAAGCAATGGAAGGCAGGCAGGAGAGCAGGGTGTGCTGGTTGCTGGTAAGGAGTTCAGCTGAGCCTGAGCAGGGATGCCTGGTAGGAGTGGGAGGGGGAGTGGGAGAGGAGGCTGGGGAGGCCATTTGGGGTGAGATGGTAGAGTCTTGGTGGAAACTAAGGCAACTTCATTCTCCAATGGGAGCCATCAAAGATTTGGGGGCAAAGAAGAGAAAATTTCAGGGGCTTGGGGGGGGGGCGGTCTTTGGAACTGTTTTACCTTGGCCACCTGCAGTGAGTTCATTTACATACATTGAGCCAGTTTTCTTCGACTCTAAAGGCTGGTGACTGGATTTGGTCTCCGCTTGGACACTGGCTCATCTGCTCTGGGCCTTAACTTCTTGTCTGTAAAATGAGTGGGTTGGATTCCTCAGGGCAAACTCAGACCAGAGGACTTCCTGGGCCCCAGCTCTGGATCTGTCTCTAACCCCCTGTGTCCCCAGGCTCATCCTGGGGATGATGGTGACCACCTCCTTCCTGTCCATGTGGCTGAGCAACACCGCCTCCACGGCCATGATGCTGCCCATCGCCAGCGCCATCCTGAAGAGCCTCTTTGGCCAGAAGGAGGCTCGGAAGGACCTCAGCTCGGAGACTGAAGAGAACGCAGGTGAGGCTGTGGAAAGGGAACGGGGGGGCCAGCCCCACCAACGGGTGTCGGGAAAGGCAAAAAGAAAGCACGTATGGAGCACCTACTATGTGCCGAGTATTTTAATGATGATAACTGAGAATTAACTAAGTCAAACCATGGTATTTTTTAAAAATTGCATATGTTGAGCATTTGCTATGTACAAAGCAACACGTTCACCACTTGACAGACATTATTTCCTTTACCTCTCAAAGCAGCCTTAGCAAGTAAATGCTGTCATTAAAGCTTGTTTTAAAGCATTTGAAGAGATGCCCCAAATCACTACTACCCAGAGGAATGCAAACTGAAGCAACAATGAGATTTACTTCAATGAGACTGGCAAAAATAAGAAAGCTAGATAATGCGAAGTGTTGGCAGGAGTGGAATGCTGTGCACTGCTGGGGCAGGGGTGTGGGGAGGGGGTGAGGACCGGTCAGTCTTTTTTAAGGGCATTCTGCAAATATTTACTCAGATTAAATGTGCCTATATACCCTGTAACTAGCAGTTTTGCTTCTAAATGCAAATACTAAAGGGACTCTGGCATAGGTCCAGAGGGGCCGTGTGTGACCAGTTCAGTGCAGCTTTCTCTGTGTGGTGAGTTGGTGGTCACTTGAACGTGATCACTCGGGAAGGGAAGAAAGGTGTGGGTGCACACCACTGAGCGCCATTGTGCTTTGAGGAGCAAAAAATTAGAGGAACGTGTAGTTATTGACACGGATCTCATAAAACATAGCTGTGGCCGAGGGAATCAAAAGCCAGAATGAGATAATAGAACACAACACCATTAGGTCAATTAAAGATACACACAAATGAGAAAATAGTTGGCAAGAGCATAAGCAAAGGAAAAGCTTCACATTCAACACATCAGAGGGGTTGCTCTGGGAAGGATGGGAGTGAGACATGGCGATAAAAGGGACTAAATGCATAACCACGTAAGTGAGACACCAGAGGGGCCTCGTGCAAGAAAGAGTGCGATTGTGCTGTGGACTGAGGGATCTGATTCACTGAAAGCTCTGAAACTGTGTTCTAAATAAAGCAAAAGCAGCTGCCATGTTTTTATATGACTAAGCAAGGGCTAAGCAAGTGACTTCCCCAGGTCACACAGTGGGCAAGTAAGTGGCTGAGCCCGACTTTGCACCCAGGCAGTCTGTCTCCAGAGAATTCTTTTGGCTGCACGTAAAAGAATGCCAGTCGGCAAGTGGCTTAAAGAATAAGGGTTTATTTCCCTCAAATATCAAGAAGCCAGAGAAAGGCAGTTCCAGGATCAATTCACTGGCATCTCTGTTATTCCCTTGGTCTTTCCCTCGTGGTTTAAAAGGAAGCCTTAAACTGGTACGTATATGGGCAGAGATGGCTAGTTTACCCCCAGTATTGCTTCTTCCTTTGTTCTTTTAGTTCTAGAACCCCCTACATGGGCACGTGGCTGGGCAGAGTAAAGGCTGCATTTTCCAGTTTCCCTTGCAATTAGATGTGGTCATGTGACCAAGTTTAGCCAATGAGAATGTGACTATGATGGGGACGTGTGTGGAGTGGGGAGAGTTGCTACCTAGGACCCAAAGATGGAAGCCCTGTGTTGAAAGGTGGGTGGCAGATCTGCCCCAGTAGCTTTGGATCATTTACCCCCACTGACACAACAGGCATCATCCATGAAACCGTGGGTTTTGTGTGCTAGTTATATTTTCTCAAATATGCATGAAAATAAATATCTGTTAAAAACCTAAATATTGATCCATGTACCATCTATGTATGGGTATTTCCACATCATGCAATAAGGGGTCTTGCTTAGTTTATTTCCACAGCAGCCTTGCAATCTAGAAATGACAAGTACCTTACAAATGAGGTTCAGAGAGGTGAAGCAAGGTGTCCAGAATCAATCGCATTGTTGATAAAGTGGCTGAGCCAGGAGCTAGGCAAAGTCAAAGACTTCTACTACGTGGAAGGGAATAGATGCTCTAGAGCCAGGGTTGGCAAACATTTTCTGTAAATGACCAGATAGTTATTTTAGGCTTTGCGGACGGTTCTGCCACAACCAATCAACTCTGCCCTTGCAGAGAGAAAGCATCCATAGACAAAATGTAAAGCAGCAGGAGATGGCTGTGTTCCAGCGAAATGTTATTTATGGGTGCCGAAATTAAAATTGTCTACAACTTTTACATCATGAAATAGTATTCTACTGGTTTTTTTCCAGCCATTTAAAAATGTCAGAGTCATTCTTAGCTGGCAGGCAGTGGGCCGGATGTAGCCCGAATGCTGTAGTTTGCAGTTTTCTGTCCCCTACTACCAGCTTGGTAGTATCAGTTTTGTTGGTTTTCAAAACTGTTTCCCCTGAGTCTTAGGGCTCCAAGGGAACTGTCTCGTAGTCACCCTGAGGTGGCAAACTCCTTCTCCCATTTCAACTTCAGCTGCCCCCACTTTATCTGCTTTATACCCCGAGCTTCCAATTAACATCACAGATGTTTAGTGAGCGCTTGCTCTACGCAAGCACTCTTCTTAGGGCCTTCCATCTGAATGACTGGGGAGCTAACATTGACCTCATTCAGAGGAATGGAAATTGAGGAAGAAATAAATGAAAGGGAATAAAGTAGGCTCAAGGTCACCTAGTTTCAAAGCAGCTGCTCTGGCGTTTTCAAACCAGGCTGGCTGACTTCAGAGCCTATGCGCTTAAACTCTATTATTCTGCCTCCAACGCAAGATTTTTTTTCAAAGAGCCTAGTGGCCAAAAGAAAACAAGTTTGAAAGCCAAGTCCCTCATTATACAGATGAAAAGACCGAGACCCAGGAAGGGGAAGGGACTCGCTCAAGGTCACACACAATGCTGGGCAAAAGGCAAAATTCAGAGTCCTTTCTCTTATGCTGCAGGGTGTCAGGAGGTAGGAGACCCCGGGAGGCGGGGGCAGACACCTGCTTTTTTCTGGCAGTGGGATCAGAGAGCTGGGATTGGTCAATGATCAACCCTAAGACCTAAAATGAGGCTAGCTCCAGTGCAAACAGAGATGTCCCCTTTTCCCCAGTTTCTATGCTCTGTCCTGGTGAGGAGGTGAGGACAGCGGGGAAGGGAGTGGAGACTCTGTTAGTGGGCCAGGACAGGCATGGGGAGGCTCCTGGGGGCTTTACGTCCATGATGGACAGGCAGCCATAATGACGATGATGGGCGCTTCCGTTTTCTGAAGACCCCGACACTGTGCTCTGATTTTCAGTCATCAGCTTGTTCAGCCTTCCTAACAGTACTAGGAGGCAAATGACACCCATTTTACAGATGAGGGGACTGAGGCTCAAAGACAAAATGATCTGCCCAAAAGTAACATGATGAGTTAGTTCCTGAGCTCTGTCCGAACCTGGAACCTGTGCTGATGAGCACCGTCCCTGAGTGAGACAGAGTCTGGGGCAGGGTGGGGCTCGCTGGACCAGACCCTGGGGGTCCTCAGCCTTGGGGGGCAACCTGCTGCTTCTCTTCAGTGCCTTTGACCAGATCTGCCCCTTGCACTTCCTGGGGGACGGTGGAGTCAGGTGGGTGGTGGCTTCCCCAGCCTGCACCTAGATGCGCGTTCCCATCAGGCCCTCTGCTGCCTCCCTGCAGGGGTGGCCTCTCACCACACCCATTTTACAGAGGAGGAAACTGACACTCAGAGTGGTGAAGTATTTGCCCCGTATCCCTCAGCCAGTAAGGGGCCCGCCTGGCTCTTGAAACTAAACTCTAGCATTCTTCGCCTCCTTTCTCCGCCCAAGGAAGGCTGGCATGCCACCCACGTCGGCTTTAGGAATGCACAAGAGGCTGTCGTTCAGAAAGTCGTCTATTAGGCTGGGTTAAGCATGGCCCGCCCCCTTCGCTCGTCATTCTTGAGGCCAGGAGTGGGCCTCCTTGGAAGACTTTTTTCTCATCTATAAGATGAGGACAGTACCTCCCATTTCATACATGCTGTCATGAAGCTCACCTGAGACATGAGACGCGGGCCTTTGACTTCCCCTGGGGTGCTCTTTACCTCATTAAATACAAGAACTCTCTCCTGGGGGCCTTCTGTGTACCCAGTGTCAAGGTTAGACTAGAGTTAGCAATTACAGGTCGGACCTACCAAGAGCCAGGTGGGCACCTTGGGAGACGGAGTGAGGTTCAAGGGGGTTGAAATCAATAGCCCTGGCACAAGCCTGACTCTGCCACTAGCCCTTTGGGTCTTCTTGGTCCCAACCTTAACCCACCTCTCTGGACCTCAGTCTCCCCAGGTGTCCTGAGGCTGCTGTAAGATTATAAAGGGGAAAATTCTCAGTCCCCTGCCTGATACAAACTCAAGGATTGGTATTCTTTCAATAAGACCTTACGTGAGCCCCAAGCTCCTAACCCGCCGTATGTATAGCACGTGCAGTCTTATATCCGGGCTCCTCAGTTCAGATGCTGGCAGCAACCACGGCCCATGGATGAGTAACAGAGGCCAGGTGAGGACAGAGACCAACTGGTGAGTGCGTGCCCTCTCTGAGGGCGTGGGCAACCACCGAAGGCTTCAGTTTCCCCATCTGTAACTTCAGGTGAGTCGTTTTCAACCCTGGCTGGCCCCAAAGAATCACCTGCAGAACTTTTCAAAAATACTGAGGCCCCAACCCCACTCCGGAGCCATCAAACCAGAACCCCTAGGGTGGGACCTGGGCACTCCCAGGAAATTCTACTGTTTTACCCAAGGCTGCAGAGGGAAGGGCACAGGTGGGGGCTGGAGAGGGTCACTGGGTCAGAGTTCTTCCTTTTGGCCGTCCCCTGGGGAGCGACTTTGTCCCTTAGCATCAGTATCCTATTAAAAGCTCTTCCCTTCCTGCATCAGTGCCCTGGCCTCTGGCCGTGTGCATCGCGTGTGGACGTGTGTTTCCATCACAGGCGCCCTGAGGCCCTTGTCCCCATGGCCCTGGGTGAACCAACCTGCATTTAGCCTTCAGACCCTGGCCGGTGGTCAGCAGGGCCAGCCTCAGACGTAGTAAAAATGACACAGTCAGCCACCGAGGAATCCTGCTCCCTCATGGTACCAACGGGAAAGGAGCAGCCCAGAGTGGAGACGGGAAGGGACTTCCCCAAGCCCCTGGGAGAGGCAGGGAAAGGATTGAGGCTGGAGCCTAGACCCTTCTTCCCAGCCCACGTGGACAAAGGTCACAGGAGCACATGGGTAGTTGAACAAGTCGAGTTTCCTTCTGTTGCCGCAGTGAGGGAGATGACGTGGATCATCTCAGTAAGAGGGTATTAGGACCTCATAGGACTTGGGCTTTGGTTGGGTCATGTGGAGCAAGTGTCTAAGGAAGCAGGGTTTTCTCAAGATTGGGTACTGACAGAAATTGGGGGCACCTTCGTGATTGGGTAAAGAAGTAGCGGCCATTCATTTAGCAAGAGCAGGGAACGCTTGGCATTTTATGGGTGGTGAGTGGCTTTGTACTCGACAAGCTTATGAAGCACCCTTGCTTTGGCTCATTTTATCAGTCTCAGCGTGACTTTGTTTGAGGTTGGTGATGTGTAAGAAGATTTACGTTCAACAAGAGAACAACATGGCGTATCTGGGTCATACCACTTCCAGACATCAAGGGCCACTTTTTTACTCTTTCTCATGAGTAACCCACACTAACGAAATCCTTGTTGGTGCTCAGATTCCTGGAGAATTTTTAAAATTACAGGCTGGCAAGGTTCAGCCCACCAAATCTAGCCCACCCCTGGTTTTTTTTTTGTGTGCAGCTTGTGAGTTAAGAATAGTTTATAGGTTTTTTAAGTGGGTGAAAGCAATCAAAAGTAGAAGAATGTTTTGTGACATGTGAACATTAAATGAAATTCAAACTTCAGTGTCCAGAAAATAAAGATTTAGCCACACTTGTTTATGTATTGTCTATGAATGCTTTCAAGACATCATGGCAGAGTTGAGTAGTTCCTGACAGAGACCATGTGGCCTCCAAAACCTAACATATTTACTGTCTGGCCTGTTACAAAAGAAGTTTGCCAGTCCCTGCTTTAAATGGTGCCTTAGTGCATTCAGGTTGCTGTTATAACAAATATACCATAGACTGGGTGTTTAGTTCACACAGTTCTGGAGGTTGGGAAGTCCAAGATCAAGGCGCCAGCAGATTCGACGTCTGGTGAGAGCCCACTTCCTGCTTCATAGATGCTCATCTTCTCACTGTGTCTTCACATGGTGGAAGGGGCTAGCTGGCTCGGTGGGGCCTTTTTCATAAGAGCATTAATCCCGTCATGAGGGCTCCATTCTCATGACTTAATCACCTCCCAAAGGCCTCACCTCCTAACACCATCACACTGGGACTTAGATTTCAACATATGAATTTTGGGGAAACACAAACCTTCCGTCTATAGTAAATGGGTCAACTCCTTAATCTTCTTGACAGCCCTAGGAGAATTATTCTTTCCATTTTATGAATTAAAGAGCTGAGGTACAGAGAGGTTAAGAAATTTATCTAAACCAGTGTTTCTCAACCTCAGCACTGTTGACATTTTGGTTGGAACAATTCTTTGTAGTGGGGGGCTGTCCTGTGCTCTGTAGGATATTTAGCAGCACCCCTGGCCTCTACCTACTAGATGCCAGCAGCACTCCCCCTACCCCCACCCCAGTTGGGACAACCAAAAGTGTCTCCAAACATTGCTCAGTATCCCTTGGAGGCAGAATTGACCCCCATTGGGAACCACTTACCTAAAGTCACATAGTAAGTGATGGAGCTATGATCTGAACCAGCAACCCATGTGTTCAGCTACCAGTCAAATGCCCAATACCCAGGGATGGGTTCTTTTAACCTTGATGATGGTTTTGGCTGCAGGAACTTTTAATCCCTTTAATTTGTCTTGTCTCCGAAATACTATCAAAGGCTTCTAGGGAGACTGACCTATCAAGCAAAGGACACTTTTTTTTTTAATAATTACATTTTTAAAAAAACTTTATTGGAGAACAATGTGTTTTTTCCAGGACCCATCAGCTCCAAGTCAAGTTGCCCTTCAATCTTAGTTGTGGAGGGCGCAGCTCAGCTCCAAGTCCAGTCATCATTTGCAATGGAGTTGTGTGTGTGGGGGGGGGCGCAGCCCACCATCCCATGCGGGAGTTGAACCGGCAACCTTGTTGTTAAGAACGTGCGCTCTAACCAATTGAGCCATCCGGCTGCCCACAAAGGACACTTATAAAATAAAGTCAGATTCTGTCCTGACGCCTCTGCTCAAACACTCCCCTGGCTTCACTCCCACCTGACTCAGAGGAGAAGTCAAAGATTTTGCTCTGAGCCCCAAGACCCTTGTATGATCCAGCCCACTCCTTGCCACCCCCACCCCTTGCCACTTCTCTCACCTCACCTACTGTTTCTCTCCTACTCCCCTAGGCTCCTCTAGCCCCACTGGTCTCCCTTCTGCTTCTGGACACACCAAACACACTCACCTCAGGGCCTTTGCACCTGAACTTTATTGCAATGGAGGTTTGCATGGCTCATCCCTCACCTTCTTCAGGCCTCTGTTTGATGTTACCGTCTCAGTCAGACTTTCCCCAACTGTCCTTTATGAAAGGTGTCCCATCCCAGAATACCTGTCCCCTTCCCTGCTTTTTTCTCCACGACACTCATTTTCATCTTACATACTGTGTATATGTATACTGATTGGTTTATGGTCTGTCCCCCTTACCAGAAGGTAAGCCCCACAGGACATGGATTTTCGTGTCTTATCACTCATTCACATTACGGATGGATTGATTGGCTAGGGTTCACGTGACTGCGCTCTGGCCCTGGGCTCCAAGTTGCACCAAGCTCTTGTCTAAGAACTGAAACACATCCACACTTTATTCGTTCTCAGCATCTCTATGGCCACCAGCCTAATGCAGTCATCATCATCTTACCTGGAAAATGCAATAGATTCTGAGCTGGTCTTCCAGCTCCCAGCTTTGCCCCCCTGTAGTCCATTTTCCCCTACCAGGCCCAGAGATGTTTGCAGTATGTCAATCACATGATATCCACCTTGGGCTGTAAATCCTGCCAGGGTTCTCTATCCTCGATTTGACTTCTGACTTCTGTTGATCTCTGCCTACCCACTCCCACTTCCCACCTTCTTTCCTAGGCCTTCCCTACTCACTACTTACACATGAGAAGCACACTGGCCTTCTCATGGTCCCTCAACTCTGCCAAGCTTCTTACCCCAGGGCCTTTGCACTTGCTGTTCCTGTTACCCAGAACCCTCTTCTCATGGGTCTTTCATGTGACTGGCTCCTTTTTATTCTTAAGGTCTTAGATCAAATGCCATCAGCTTCTGATGTCTCTCTGTTGACCTGATCACAGTTGACCACCTACTCCCCCTCCCCACTCTGCACTTACTTTCCATCACATGGCCCAGTTTTATTTCCTCCATCACTTTCGTCACCACCTGAAATTTTCTTTATGTATTTGTTGTCTGTCCCCCCTTCTAGAATATAAACTTCATGGGAACAAGAACCTTGTTGTATATTGTTCACTATGTACCCCAAGGTCATAGACAATAGCACATAGTAGGTGCTCAATAAATCCTTTCTGAATGAATGAATGAATGGGAGATTGGGGTCACTCATCCCATTGCTGACCCATTATCGCTCATAGCTAGTCTTTCCCAAACGTCCCTTTGACAATGGCTGCTCACGTAAGCCTAGGCTCGAGTTACGGGTTGTGAAGCAGCCTTGCAGCCAACTCCCTATCCACAGGTCTGGGGTCATCTCCAAAAGGAAGTGGGTGGGACAGGAAGATGGAATGTTCAGTGCCTCATTTATTCATTCATTCATTCATTTGATTCAGTGAATACTGTGGGATCCTTGGCAAAGAGTAGAGCCTGAGGACTCATTCCTGACTGACCACAAAAGAATTGGCACACTCCCGTCCCATTCACATGACACTAAACACATCATGCTCTTTCCTCCTAGCTGCAGCACAGACAAATGGCCTGCACACCGTGCCCACGGAGATGCAATTTCTTGCCAGCCCCGAAGAGTGAGTTCCCGGTGAAAATCATAGAGGAGCCAGTGCTTGGTCCGAGGAGATGATGAGCAAGAACTCAGCGCCGCAAGCAACCCCCTCCCATCTCTGGCTTTTCCTGCAAATGACCTAATTGCCCATGTTCCCACTACTCATCCCTTGGGCGTAGGCATGGACCTTCACAGACCCTTTAAAAAGCACAAATGTGGACAGGATGGGGGAGCACATGACATCCCTAGAGTTCAATGAGGGAAGGGTCTCAGAGGAGGGCCCCAAAGCACATGCCACACAATAGGCAAGCGGGAGAGGGGTGCAGACCAGCTCAAGAGGTCCTAAGGCACACACACCCTAAGACAACACTCATCCCTCACACTGATGTGAGTCAAGAAGCACCTTGGCATCATGGCACATTCAGTCGTTGATGTCCTCTGTACATGACAGCATGGTTAAGCTCCTGGGGGGTGGAGCCACGCAGACCTGACTTGGACCCTGGCTCTGCTGCTTATGGGCTGTGCCATTCAGACAAGTCACTGAACCTTGCTGAGCCTCAGTTAGTTTCACCTACCAACTGGACGAGATATTGGAACCCACCTTATAGGGTTGTTTTGAGATTGAATGAGGTCATCCTGACAAAGCAGGTTGCGAGGCCCTGCCTGCACGCATGGTAGCACTTGTGATTAAACGGCAGGAAGTAATGTGGCTTGCTGAAGGCATTGCTGGGCATCGATCAGGTCTGTTTCTTTCATTCAACAAATATTTCTTGAGAGCTTAGGATGAGCCCGGCACTGCCGTGGATACAGCAGTGAAAGACAACAAAAAAAAGTCCTAGCCCTGTGGAGCTTACGTCCCAGCGACAAGGAACCAATACACAAGTGAAATCCATAATATGTCAGATGGTTGGCCAGTGCTATGCAGGAGAACAAAGCAGGAAAGAGGGCTTGGGCAGGGGTCCGGGAGTGGAAAAGGGCCGTTTTAAAATGGGTGGTTAGGGAAGGCCTCTGGGAAGGTCATGTTTGAGCAGATACCTGCAGGTGAGGCATCATGGAGGGGCTTTGGAAGAGTGTTCTCAGCAAAGGGACCAGCAGGTGCAAAGTGCCTGAGAGTCCAAAGCAGACAGGAAGCCAGTGTGGGTGGAGTGGGGTGAGTGGGTGGTAGCAGGTGGAGTCAGAGAGATTGTGTGGTGAGGGCAGTGGTGAGGGATAGAGCAGGTCGGACCTCACAGGCCACTGATATAGTCTTGACTTTGAATAAAAGAGTGGCTGATGGAGGGATAGCGTCTGATTGTCGTATCCCCTGACCTGTGCTCCTTCCTGGCATCATTGGGGAGCTCTGAGTCCAGCTCTGAGATCTGGGCTCTGTGAGTGGCCCAGCCACTCACTACCATGCAGCCTGGGAATCAGTGTTAACCATCTGCCTATGCAGAGCATGATGCTGAGTTCACTGGGAACGACCTGATCCCCAGTCTCTGGAACCCCATGTCCACTGGCTGCACACCCCATTTCTCCCTGGGCCTCAATTTCCCCATCCGAACAAAGAAGGGGTTGCAGGAGATGGGTCCTAGGTCCCTTTCTGCCCTCTCATTCTCGCTGTGAGGCTCATTCCGGGTGGGTTCCCCAAGCTGAGGGAGGCCACAGTTCCCCACCAGGCTGCTCACCCTGAGAAGTCAGGCCATGACATGGGGCCTCTGGCTACTTCCCGTAGGTCGTGTCCCCATTGCCCACTGGAGAAGGGGCCCTGCACGTAGCAATTAAGTCAGAAGGAATTTGAAGTATCTTTTAGTCTTTAAAAAAACAACAACACTGATTTGTTCCACAGGAGCAATTCTTAATTCCATTCACTGATAAATGTTTTATAATTGCACAAGTCAAAAAAATGCTCTCAAGCAAAAAGAGAGATATACTCAGTATCTCACTCACAAGGATAGGTTAAAACAGTTATGTGAATACCATTTTAGATTATTTCTTGATATCTCTCTATATATACATAAATGCATTTTTAAATAAAAATATTGGTAATGCTACATGTGCTATTTTGTAACCTGCTAGTTCACTTAAGGAGCTGTAGTTAACACCTTTTCACTTTAATAAATTTGTGTCCTCATCTTTTAATTATATAATTAACAATTATTAATGTCATTCTTTCCCAAACTCTTTCACTATACAAGGAAAACAACCCAGAAATACAAATAAAGAATAAAAGAGAAAAAAAAATCCATAATTCACCCCTGAGAAAGGCGCCCAATTGACTTTCCTTATACCATTCTAGACTATTCTTAATACTCATATATTCATGAAAAGTGAATTTTTTTAAAATTAAAAAAACACACAAACATGCTGTTACCTACCTTTTCACTTCATATAATGGACAACTTTTACCTTAATACAATCTCCTAAATCATTTGGATAGAACTGGTATTCCATCCCAAAAGAGGGTCATCTTTATTTAGCCAATCTCGCTTTGATGGAGACTTAGGTTATTTTCAATTTAAATTATATTTAACACCATGGTAAAGTTTCTTATACCCACACCCAAGGCGCCTGACCAATTATTCCTTTAGGATAACTTCTGAGAGTAGAACACCTAAGCTGAAGGGTTGCACGTTTTTAGAGGTTTTTGATGCTCGTGCCACTTACCTTCTAGAAAGACCACTTAGCCCTCCCAACCCAAGCAGTGTGTGAGCCATCTCCCTGCGAGATCAAGAATCCTGCGTGTGTTCTGAATGGCTTCTTTTTTTGGCTTGTTTCAAGCAAAGACTGCCCTGAGGAGGTGGAGGCTCCATTCTCCAAGAAGGAAGAGGAATATCGCCGAAACATCTGGAAGGGCTTCCTCATCTCCATCCCCTACTCAGCCAGCATCGGGGGCACTGCCACCCTCACAGGCACGCCCCCCAACCTCATCCTGCTCGGCCAGCTCAAGAGGTAACACACAGCAAGTGTCCCCCGCGTGGCACGGGAATTTCTGCTCCTTTTCCTCCTCCTCCTCCTCCTCCTCCTCCTCCTCCTCCTCCTCCTCCTCGCCCTCCTTCCTTCATCATCTAGGCAGTGTGTATGCAGTGCTGTCTATTAGCCAGGCTCTAGGGACCCAGCAAGGCACCAAAGCCAGCCAAGTCTCTGCCCTGGGGGGGCTCCCATTCTGGTGGGCAGACAAGCAGTAAAGGCAAAAGCAAATGAATGTGTGCTATGTCAGTGCGATGAGTTATGAAATAAAAACAAAGCGGGATAAGGGGGTAGAAGTGACAGGAGTGGGTGCTGTTTTACATAGGTGGGTCAGGGATGTACGACCACTCTAATAAGGTGACACTGGAGCAGAGACCTAGACGTGAGGGCGTGAGCTATGTGGGTACAGGCGGGAAGAGCATTCCAGGCAGAGGGAATAGCCTCTACCAAGGTGGGCGGCACGGAGACCAGCAAGGCTGGGGTGTAGAAGGCGAAGGGGATTGTGGGAGGAGAGGGGGTAAGAAGAGGCCAGACTTAGGCAACTGTTGTATGGACTCCAGCTTTTCCTTCCAGTGAGATGGGGAGCCGATGAAGAGCTGAGAGCAGAGGAGTGATATGATGTATCATCTGCTTTAAAATCTAACCCCAACTGGAGGCGTTTGTCTGTGGCATGGGGTGAATGGATGGGGTGGAAATTGCTGTCAGAGAGTTTCCAGGCGGCCTGCCCATCCTGACCTGAGCAGACTTCATTCCAACTTGAAAAGAAATTAGGGGGGAAACGCTGGAGCCGTATGTAAAAATATTACACATGAAGGGTTTTGAGTCAATGGCATGCAAATGATATGCAAATAACATGCCACTTTAATTGCACAGGCTCGGATCTTCTAGCCTGGGAGGAGGGAATTTAGAGGGAAAGCCAAGTAATACGGAGTTCTGATTCTCCCGCCGGGAGCCTGGGGACACAGGGAAATGGCCGCCCTGAGTGTTTTCCTTGGGCTGTGCTCCCCAAATAACATTTGTTCAGTTATTCTAATTCCACACGTTATAGGCACATTATAGAACACTCAGAAAATATAGAAAAACTAAAAATTTGAAAT